TTTGTGTTTCTCAGGTTGTCTTCGCGTCGCCCTCAGAAGTAGGTGTGGTTCGCCAGAGCCTGTCCCTGCAGGTGCTGGATTGAGATGTTAATGCTCCGCTCACCATCGAAATAAGCCGCCAATGTGAATAAGGACAGCAGGTACGACAAGCCCTAAAGCCTCAAAGCCCCAAAGCCTAAAACCGAACTGTACCCGTCCACAACCGAAGCTCATCCCCCTGGTTCTTAGTAAGGGAATGAGGCAATTAGGGCCCTTTTCATGCCCTTTAAGGGATTTCTTAGGGTACCTCATTCCCCCATTCCCTCCCTATCAAGAACCAGCCAGTCATCTCCCGAAGGCCAGCGTTTTGGGTTGAAAGGTTGAGACGGGTTTAGAGGCCTTGGAACCCCTAGAGTTTCAAGGCTGAGGCCAGTTTCGGGTTTAGGGTTTAGGGCTAGGGTTTAGGGTTTAGGGTTTAGGGTTGGGTTTAGGGTTCCGGTAGGGCCGCACGCAGCAGGCCCACGGCCACCAGTCCATATCTCTGCCTTGCGCAGCCACAGCCGCGAGGGTGCTGGGGGCGTGGCCTGCTGCTGTGTTCTCTGTGGTGCTTTACTGTAACTTTAGATCCTTAGCCTTTTTGGGTTTTATTTATAGCTACCCTGCTAAGTGCAGCCAAGTGTTCATCCGCCGGGTTTGGGGTTTTGGGGTTTAGGGTCTGAGGGTTCGGATTTGGGGCCTGGGGTTGAGGATGAATGGTTAGGGTCTAGGATGTTCAGGCATGGATTCCCCTCATGCCCAGAAAGCCTTCGAGAGTTGCCTGGCTTCCCCCCCCCCCCCCGACCCTCGCCCCGAAATCTGAAACAGTCAGTAAACCCAAGCAGGCATTCGCAATTTGCAAGCCCTACACCCTAAACCCTAAACCTTAAACCCTAAACCCTAAACCCTAAACCCCAAGCCCTAGGCCCTCGCCCCTAAACGCGAAACCGACCTTCATCCTGAACTCCAAGCCTTGCGCCCGAAGCCACTCTTCACCCTACACGCCACACCCCTAAACCTTAGGGATACTTGGGAATGATTTCTAAGTTCTTGGTGCCATAATTCCTAAGAAACAGCTAAAACTTTACCTTGTGCTAGGGTTCCAAGTTCGGTATAGAAACCCGAATTTAGGGTTTAGGGTTTAGGGTTTAGGGTTTAGGGTTCGAAACCGACAGAGCAAGAGTCGCAAGCGGCGTCGGCTCGAGCCTTGGAACGCTGAGGCTGGGCTTAGGCGCTCCCACTCGGAATTCGCGCCCGGGGTTGTGCTGAGTTTGGGTTCAGGGCCTGAACCCTGGAATGCTAAACCCTCAATTCGGGAGTTTAATTAGGGTTAAGTGGCCTTTCTGCTATGTGGGGTCGTTTTTTCTGAGTTAAGGTGTATTCTATACAGTTAGGGGATACGTGGGCTCTCTCTCTGGGTACTGTGCTCTCAACTGTTCCTCATGGAGGCTTTCGGTGAAGGCAGGAGAAGCGAGAGGATCTCATAGGGATTGCAATGGCAGCAGAAGCCGGCAAGGCCTGGGGACATTCAGCTTAGGGTTTAGGGTTTGGGGTTTAGGTTTAGGGTTTAGGGTTTAGGGTTTAGGGTTTAGGGTTTAGGGTTTAGGGTTTAGGGTTTGTGACCTGCAGCGGACATTCAGCGGAGTGTGTGTAACAAAGGGCCCCCTATCGCCCGAACCTCTAAACCATCAACCCTTTGCCCTCAAGGCCTGGGGCCCGCCTCCCATAAAACCTAAACTCAGACGTGGCTTCTTCTACTGTATTTCTTTGTGTCGTTGAGTTTTCCTCAAGAATATTAGGGTGCCAACGACAACTCCAACTACAATATGAGCGGCTTCAATGCCCAGCATGGCTTTTATTGGCTTTCTGTTGCAAGACCCATTTGCCCCAACCTGTGCCTGATTGTTTGTCTTTTTTGCACTTGTTGGCTTGGGATGCTCCCCCTTATAAGCAGTCCTTAATAGGGATTATCATGGGGGGTACGAGAATCCCTATCAAGGATTGTTAGTATAAGGGGGAACACGGGAACATCCGAAATTTTGGCTCTCTGACAATGCTTGTCACCCTTGGTGCACTGGCAGTCTCTGCTTGAGCTTGGAGCATCAATTTTTCTGAAAGTCACAAGGGTCTGCACGTGCGTGTTTTTTGTCTTTCTTGCCGGGCAGGCATTCAGGCTGTAAGTTGCTAAGCCCTGCGAGGGATACCGTAAACGCGCGCTAAGCAAACAAAAAAGCGCACATCCAAAACCGAGATGAGCACTGGCCAAAACAAGCCCGGATCGTGACAAAGGCCTTCAAAACTCGAGATGAGCCTTGGCCAAAACCAACCCCGGATCGTGACCAAGGGTCTTCGAAAATTGAGATAAGCCCAATGAGCCGTAGGCCCTCACAAACGAAAACCGCCCATGCACTGCAAGCATCGGGAGCTGGGGTGGAGGGGCCGGGGTGGCAGATGTTGTTTATTCCAGGATGTGATTAGGTCTCCCGACGGCTCCCGACGGGTCTAGACGGGAAGGGGAGCAGAACAGAACCGAGAGCTCCCAACAACAAATCCGGCATGCATCGGAGTTCTCTGAACAGGGCTATGCAAGTGAAGTTCCAACCTGCGCGCTCGCCACCAGGGAGCGAGAAGCATTTTGACAACAGTCCCCTTTAATTCATCTGCTTAGGGAGAAAAGTCGTAGTTAGCCCAACCGTCGGGTATCGAGGAGGCATCTGTCGCCGAACGCATGGACCGCGACGTGACCGTGTACAACCTTGCGTTGGCGACGGCTGCGCGGAATGCCCATTGGACAAGGGCGTTGGCTCTCCTTGCCACGGCCGAATCTCATCTTAAGTTCTCTCCTGGAGTCCTTAGCCCTAAACCCTAAACCCTATTCCCTAAACCCTAAAACCCTAAACCCTAAACCCTAAACGCTAAACGCCCTAAACCCTGAACCAGCTAGTTTGTGGAGCAGAGAGCCCCCCCAACATGGTGGTAGAACCCCAGGTGTCACCCTTGATTGAAACCTTGACCTTGGTGCCAAAGAGGGCCGTATGGTTTAGGGGTTTAGGGGTTTAGGGGTTTAGGGGTTTAGGGGTTTAGGGGTTTAGGGGTTTAGGGGTTTAGGGTTTAGGGGTTTAGGGTTTTAGGGGTTTAGGGTTTAGGGTTTAGGGTTGTGCGCTGTAGGAAGAAGAGCATCTGGCCGACCTGGTGTCTTTCAACACCGTGACGCAGCCGGATTCAGGTTGCGAAGCCAACGGCGCTGCAAGACCCTAACCCCCTCCCACTCGAACTCAAGGGGGTATGGCTTGAAGTAGGTGGGATTGCTGGTGATGCAGGTAGATGTGTATGGGGCCGCAATTGTACCAGACATGCACTGGCCCATGCTAGCTACTTGGGTTTTGGGATGCCCGCCTGCGCAACAGGAGCACATTAGGGCTACAAACGTAGTGTATACCTGTCCTCAAGAGGGCCCCCATGATCTAAGATCAACCCTTTAGCGTAGGGCTCAGGGTTTGGGGTTTAGGGCTTAAGTAGGGGCTGAGGCAATCTCCGCGCTGGGCCGAGCTGGCCGCTGGCAGCTGGCCCTGGACCTCTTTGCGGGTGCCTTGAAGTTTCAAGGGGGTTTCTAAGATGTAGGGTTTTGGGTTTAGGCCCCTCGGATTGTTGCAACTCTTGGCTTTCGCCCCCCAGAAGAGGTACGCCTAAGAACTGTACTTCGAAATGCGCCAATCGCCCTTCTAGGAGCCCTGGACAAGGCCTCCATAGATCCGATTCATGAGTAAGGGCTCCTGGCGCCCAAAATGCAGTCTCAGGGTTCACTGCCTTCAGTATTGGGAGAGAAGCGTTACAAGCAGGAGTTCCAAGGAACACATGGGGGTTTACGAAAATAGGGGGCCCCTGAAATAGATCCCAAATAGTAAGGTTTCCCTTATTATAAGGACCCCAATAAGGGGGAACATCCCAACACACCCTGTTTAAACCGACGCTTGAGGCCTCGAAGCCACAATCTGAAAACTGCGCCAGGTCTGCATGACCGAGGTCTTCGGAACCTCGGCCGCCGGTCTTCCCTGGGCCCTAAAACCCTCAAAGCCCCAAAACCCTGAAAACCTGAAACCGGGAAAAACTTCCAAAACTCCAAACCCGAAAAATAGGGTTGCCAAGTATCCTTCAACCAGTTGTAACCACAGCCAGAACCGTTCGGGTAGAAGGGGCGGCAAAAGCAGCTCGCTCTTTTGGAGGGCAGGGGAGATTGAGTAGCCGAAAGCCAGGAAGTGCAGGGGTAGGGGAAGGGTAGGGTTACGCCCCTTAACTCTCTCTTCCCCTAGGGTTTAGGGTTTAGGGTTTAGGGTTCAGGGTTTAGGGTTTACACCCTAACCCCCTTAAACCCGGCGGACGCGAGCAGTAGCTCAGGAGGGACGTGATCTCCTTCAACGCCGCCGCGGCCGCCTGCGCGGGAGCTGCGGGTCCCCTTTCTTTCGCATGAAAGAAGGAGCACCTCAAAGGGCCCCGAAGCCCTGGAGACCCAAAGCCCTCAACCCTCAACCCCAAACCCTCAACCTTCAGCCTTTTAGAACCCGAAGAAGCCCTGAGAACCCGAGTAATTAACCAGCAAGAAGCTCCAAGAAGCCCAACAAGCCCTTAGGAGTCGCAACAAGAAGCCCCCCCCACCAGAAGCCCCAAGAACCCCGAACCGATGTTTGCGCGGCGCCCCCCAAATTTCTTGGGGCCGCTTTGGATAAAAGGGGCTCAAAATGGGAACTAAACAGCGAAGAACAGAGGGATATGCCTGCCAGGGTCCTTAGATTCCCTGTTTTTTCCTACTCAATTCTGGGGGTTCCCTCTGTTTAGGGGTTCCCATTGGGAATCCCTAAACCCTAAACCCGAAACCCTAAACCCTCAACCCTAAACCCTAAACCCTGAACCCTAAACCCTAAACCCCTGAACCCTAAACCCTCTTTTATTTGAGAGGCTGGCAAAACACCCTGTGCCTCTTGGCCGACATGGCGGCCAGCCGCATGGCAGGACGCGCAGGTGTGAGGTTCTATAAAGCTTTGAGGCTTAGGGGGGGGTTTCAAGATGAGTTTGATTTAGTATTCCAGGGAGCAGCATAAACATCGTAAGAGTCATCATCATAACGATAGCTGTTGGGTTTGGGGCTCAGTGCTACTTGGGTCGTACATTCTTCAAGGGTTCTGGGGCGATGGGTGGGGCTACAGGTAGTAGAATAGCCATGCACAGCACTGGTTAGCCACCCCATGATCCCTCAACCCTCAACCCTTCAGTCCCTGAAAGCGCAGTTGTGGGTGGGCACGCGTGATGTATGCCTCGGCTTGAAGCCCCTTGAGCCTGGGCGTTGGGGCTTGCGCAACCCTAAGCCCTAAACCCAAAACCCTCAGGGGTTCGCGGCATGGGGAGTTTCCGGGTTCTGTGTTGCCCAGGATGCGTCTCGCGTCTGAACCCGAAACTTCACTTTGACTGCCTAAGCTCTCCAAGTAAAACCCTACAACCCGTAAACATCCCCCAGCTCCGCACCACCCCCCCAAACAAAAAACCCAAAGCTCGACCTAAACCCCAAACTCCACCCCTGCACCCCAAGCCCCTAAGCCCTGAACCCCAAAGCCCCCCACCTAACTGCGCAGGCCCGTGGCTGCCAGTTTCAGGGAGGTTCTCTTTCAGGGTCGCTGTCAGGGATCCAAGCATCATGCGGAGCCTTACATGGTCACTTCTCTAAATTCGGGTCCCTTTTTGGGGTTACCACTATACTTCAGGCGCCGAACATTTAGGCTGACCAAAAAGGGACCACCCTAAACTCTAAACCCTAATTTAACCCAGAACCCTAAACCCAAAACGCTTTTTGAGAACTGATTAGAGGATTCCTCCCAGTATCTTGGCCACCGTGAGTCTGTGGTTGGGGTTTCAGGAGATGTCGTCACCTACACCGCTGTTGTGAGTGCCTGCGAGAAAGCGGGCGAGTGGGAGAAGGCCCTTTTTTGGGTTCAGGGCTTAGGGTTTGGGGTTCAGGGCTTCGGGTTTAGGGGATAGAGGGTGCTTTTGCTTTTGCTTTTTGTCTTATTCTTATTTTAGGTTTTTTTGGGCGGGGTTGCCCGGGTCCGTGCAGGAAGGCATCCCCTCAATTCGCCCATATTGCTACCACTTCTATTCGGGTATGCGAGCCGCCTCAAGGGTTCATTGACCATGTCCCAGTGGAATGTTCCCCCTTATACCCTTATACTAGCACACCTTAGTAGAAATTCAAGTACCCCCCCCTCCCCTATTCTCGGGGGAACATCCCAGAATTTCCCACCTTTCCAGCTGGCAGAGGCTCTGGGGGTACTGGGCCGCATGGTTGCAGCCCGTGTGCAGGGGGATGCCACCTTGCTGCAGCCATGCTTTCACCAACCTTTTTCCCTCATATCATCCTTTTGAACTCTGAACCTTACGTCCTAAACTCTAGACCCAGACTCTACTTTTCCCACCATGTATCAAGCATGTTGTTTTTTCTCCTGGAGTTGAGAACCCATAGAAGCCAATTCCGCCCTCGATGCCTGAGGTGGTCGTCTACAATGCTGTCATCAGTGTGTCTGATCTGCAAGATCTTCCCGAAACGCCTAGCCCTGCAAGCAGTTTAGGATTTCGGGTTTGCTCCAAACTCTACGATAAGCTTGTGGGAACTTCCCGATGGATGCAGCCTTGTTTAGAATGCCTGACCTGGAAGTTTGAGAGAGAAGGAGAGTAGAGAGAGAGAGAGAGAGAGAGAGAGAGAGAGGGAGAGCGAAAGAGAGAGCCACAAAAAAGAGGGAGAGGGAGAGGGAAGCAAGCCAGGGAGGCAGGGAGCCAGGGAGAAAGGGGGCGGAGAGAGAGGGAAAGAGAGTAGAGGGAGTAGAGGTAGAGGGAGTAGACGGAGGAGAGGGAGTAGAGAGAGTAGAGAAAGGGACCCGACAAGATGCAGGATCCTAAGATCGTCCCTTAACAGGAAGTCGCTACTTGGAGGGTTCTTCCCATGACTCTAACCCTCCTAAACCCTAAACCCTAAACCCTAAACCCTAAACCCTAAACCCTAAACCCTAAACCCTAAACCCTAAACCCTAAAACCTAAACCCTGAACCCTTAACCCTAAACCCTAAACCCTAAATCCTAAACCCTAACCCCAAAACCCAGGCTCACGCGAAGGGCGCCCAGTGGCAGCGCGGCCTCCTGCTGCTGGCGAGGATGAGAAGAAAAGGGCTCCAGCCAGATGTCGAAGCCTCAGCCATGTAATTGGGTTTAGGGTTTAGGGTTTAGGGTTTAGGGTTTAGGGCTTAGGGCTTCGGGTTTCGGGCTTAGGGTTTCGCGATAAGGGATTAGGGTTTAGGGTTTAGCGATAAGGGATTAGGGTTTAGGGTTTAGGGGAATGGAGGCCAAGTCAAGAAGAACGGGTATTTCGGGTAGTTTGTGGCAGTTTGTGCTTGTTGGAAAGGCCCTAACCCTGTTAAACTCTGCAGCCTAGATCCTCAACCCCAAACCCATAAGGCCTCCAGGACTAGGGAGGGCTCAGGGCTTCGTATGCGTCATGCTTCGGGAAAGAGCACTCCTCACACCCCTACTCTGGGCGGTTTAAGGACTTAGGCTTTTGGGGGTTAGGAGGCTGGGTATAGCTTTGCTAGGACCCGGAGTAGGCCCTTATTTCCTGTTTTTGAGGTTGGGGTTCCCTTACAATCCCCTTAAGACCCAAAAGTGCACCCTTTATATTCCTAGGTTACGCCTGGGTCACCCTAAACCCTAAACCCAAACCCTACTAACTACTAACCCTAAACCCTAAACCCCCTAAACCCCCTAAACCCCCTAAACCCCCTAAACCCCCCTAAACCCCCTAAACCCCCTAAACCCCCTAAACCCCCTAAACCCCCTAAACCCCCCTAAACCCCCCAAACCCCCTAAACCCCCTAAACCCCCTAAACCCCCTAAACCCCCTAAACCCCCTAAACCCCCTAAACCCCCTAAACCCCCTAAACCCCCTAAACCCCCTAAACCCCCTAAACCCCCTAAACCCCCTAAACCCCCTAAACCCCGAAACCCCCTAAACCCCCCAAACCCCCCAAACCCCCTAAATCCCCTAAACCCCTAAACCCCCGAACCCCCGAAACCCCCGAAACCCCCAACCCCCGAAACCCCCTAAACCCCCTAAACCCCCTAAACCCTAAACCCTCAAGGCCAGGATAAATAGAAATTGTACGCGTTTCATTACGAGCAGCTCGTGCAACAATCCTTCATCCTTCACAGTGCACTAAATCAGACAAAAGCATGGCTTTCAGGGCACCAACAAAAGATGCTGCCGGCGCCCCTTCACGCCCCCCAAAACCCCCCAAAAAGCCCAAACCTCCCCGACAAAACCTCCAAATTTCAGCAAAAGCAAAAATCAAAACCCCCCAAAACCCCAAAACTCCCCAAAGCTCCCAGCCCGCCAGCCGCCAGCCCGCCAGCCCCCCAGCCCGCAGCCCTCCAGTCCCGCAGCCCCCCAGCCCCCCGGCCAAGCCCCCCCCCCAAAAATCCCAAAAACGAAGTTGAAAAAAGTTAGAAAGCAAAACCCCCCAAAACTCCGGACACAAACCCTATACAATTTCTATAAACCCTAAACCCTAAACCCTAAACCCTAAACCCTAAACCCTAAACACTAAACACTAAACCCCAAGCCCTAAACCCTAAACCCTAAACCCGTTTAGGAGATCGGCCTCAGGGTCGAAGGTTTCGCTGAGCCTTCCTTGCACGCGGTGCAGGTTGTCAGCCACAACTCGGCCATCAGCTCCTGGTCAAAGGTTAGAGGGATTTGGGGTTTAGGGTTTAGGGTTTAGGGTTTCCCCTAGGGTTTAGGGTTTCCCCTAGGGTTTAGGGTTTCGGGTTTCGGGTTTAGGGTTTAGGGCTTAGGGTTAAGTTAAGGGTTTGACCGCCTGTCCTTAAGTACTTCAACAAAGCCACCGCCGCAAAATGGTTCTGGCATACGGTCACAACCCTACCGACAAGCGTCGCACCAGGGCCGAACCCAAACCCCTTACTTGGAGGTGCCCTAAGTCCGCTAAGACTCCGCGAAGCCCCCCTAAAACCTAAACCCTAGACCCTAAACCCTAAACCCTAGACCCTAGACCCTAAAGCCTAAAGCCTAAAGCCTAAAGCCCAAAGCCCATTCCATCCTGGCCCATCCCTGGCAAAGCGCCCCCTCGTCAACAGTCACACCCTAAGAGTTCATGGTCTTAAACGCAGGGTTGCCCAAGAACCCCTTGAACCTACATAAACCCCTCAACCCCGAAAGCAACGCCTCAAGCAACCCCCCAAAAGCAACCCCTGAATCCGGAAATCCCTTGACCGAACCTGCCCCCCTCAAAGCGTGAGCCCTGGGCCCTCAACCCCAAACCCCTAACCCTCGACCCCCTAAACTCGACGTCCTCAAAGCCTAAGCCCAAAACCCTGAAACCCTAAAGCCCCAAAGCCCTTAAACCCTAAAACCCTAAAACCCCAAAACCCCAAACCCTAAAAACCTAAAACCCCAAAACCCCAAATCCCTAAACCCTAAACCCTAAACCCCAAACCCTAAACCCCAAGCCCTAAGCCCTAAACCCTAAACCCTAAACCCCAAACCTTAAAGCTCCATCGTCCCAAGCGCGCCCAAGGCGCCTGCGCTCCGGAGAGGCGCTGGCCCAGGGCCCTGACACTGCTTGCCGGTCTCCAGGCTCCGGGTTTAGGGTTTAGGGTTTAGGGTTAAGGGTTTAGGGTTTAGGGTTTCGGGTTTAGGGTTTAGGGTTTAGGGTTTAAACCCATCAAGCAATGCGCGCCCCATAGACTACCTTGAGCACCTCGAACCCAGCTACTCCTGAACCCGAAGCTCGTAAACACCTCATATGCTCCTATACAAAGCATGAGCCCTTGGAGGGATTACATAGGGGAAACAACACCAAACCCTAAACCCTAAACCCTAAACCCTAAACCCTAAACCCCAAACCCCAAACCCTAAACCCTGAACCCTAAACCCTAAACCCTAAACCCTAGACCCTAAACCCTAAACCCTAAACCCTAAACCCTAGACCCTAAACCCTAAACCCTAAACCCTAAACCCTAAAGTTCAGCCCTCTGAAGCCCCTGAAGACCAGGCGCAGGGTTCGCAGCGCGACGCCGTCTCCTGCAACGCCTGCGCCACCTGCTGCGTTCCTGGGGTCGCAGGTTAGCCCTGCAAAGCCAAAAAACAGATTGGTTTGGGGTTTAGGGTTTAGGGTTTAGGGTTTAGGGTTTAGGGTTTAGGGTTTAGGGTTTAGGGTTTAGGGTTTAGGGTTTAGGGTTTAGGGTTTAGGGTTTAGGGTTTAGGGTTTGGGGGACAACTCCACAAGCCCCAAAAATCCCCCAAATCCACTAAGTTCCCCTAAGCCCCGAAACCCCCTTAGTATGGGTCCCCTGTTATATGACCCTTGTATACACTATGCATAATGAGGGCCCACACCTCGGATCCCTTTAAATCCCTTCGGGGACCACACTAAAGACCAGTGGTTCCAGCCCCTGACTCTCACATTCACTCCCCAGTTTGCTTAAAGATATTGGGGAGTATTTTTCAAATTTTTGGGCACCACATTTCCGAAGAAACTTGCAATTCTTGCTAGGGATCCAGGTTCAGTATAGTCTTGGCCTTAAACCTTAAACCCTATACCCTAAACCCTAAACCCGAAACCCGAATAAACCCTCTAAACCCTAAACCCTAAACCCTAAACCCTAAACCCTAAACCCTAAACCCTAAACCCTAAACCCTAAACCCTAAACCCTAAACCCTAAACCCAAAACCCTAAACCCTAAACCCTAACCCCTAAACCTAAACCCTAAACCCTAAACCCTAAACCCTAAACCCTAAACCCTAAACCCTAAACCCTAAACCCTAAACCCTAAACCCTAAACCCTAAACCCTAAACCCTAAACCCTAAACCCTAAACCCTAACCCTAAACCCTAAACCCTAAACTGAGTGAGCCCGGGGCCGTCGAGCAGGGCGAACGCACCGAAGCCGGCAGGCGAGGTAGCTCCGGAGCCAGAAGCCCTCCGGCGGGCGACGGAGCTCCAGTCCCGCAGGCAGCTGCAGGCTGCGCGGTGGACCCGGCAGGTCGCTGGCGAGAAACCCGTCAGGTCGCCCCTACAATAAGATACCCCAAACCTTCGGGCAAAACATGGCAACCTCCTTTTGCCCCTGCCTGGGAGCTGCCTGAGCCCCTGCCTGGGAGGCTTGCCTTGGAACCCTGCCTGGCAAAGCCCTGCCTGCCTGAGACCCCTGTTTGGGAGGCCCCTGCTGTGTCTGAAAGGCTGAAACCCCTGCCCAGCGGCAGCCAGCCCCAAGCCCAAACCTTCGGGTTTTTGAGAAAGACTCACTGGGAGGCTGTCACCTGCCTCAGAGGCCCCCTGCCTAGCACTGTCAGTCCTGCTTGCCGGAAACCTTTTGCCTGAACCTGAAAAGCAGGCTTCCAAGCAAGGGACCCAGATCCCCGACCAGGACGCAGTATCATCAAGGGCGAGTTCCAAGCGTAAACCTTTGTTTGGGGTTTTGAGAACGACTCACTGGGAGGCGACTGGGAGGATCTCCTGCTTGCCGACCTTTTGCCTGAACCTGAAGGATCCCCAAGGACGCAGCATCACCAAGTACGAATGTGGCAGCCAGCCCCAAGCCCAAACCTTCAGGTTTTTGAGAAAGACTCACTGGGAGGCCCCCCCGCCTGGGAGGCCCCCTGCCTGGGACTAGGAGGATCTCCTCAACAACCATTACAAAAGACAAAAATAGCAAAAGTTGCAGCATCAGCATGGCGAAAGCCCAAACCTCTAATTTCACTCCCTTCCAAGCAAGTTTTCCAAATCCCCGCCCAGCACGCAGCATCGCCGAGGGCGAAGGCGGCAGCCAACCCCAAGCCCAAACCTCTGACTTTTGGCTCTCCCAGCAGCCCTCGACTGATAGACGTCTCCCTTGCAATGCCTAGGGCCTGGGGGCTACGAACTTCAGGGTAGTTGATCTGCATCGATGCCGAGCTTCAACCCAATAGACAAGAGAAAAATAACAAAAGCACGATCAGAGTTCAAAAGAACCCTAAACCCGTAGAGGTTAAGGCGAGGGTGGAGCGCCAGCGGGGGTGGGCTTATGCAAATCGGGGCGCGCGCCTGGGTGCTTGCAGCACCAGCGCGCCCACTCATTGAGACACCCTAAACCCTAAACCCTAAACCCTAAACCCTAAACCCTAAACCCTAAACCCTAAACCCAGTTTTGGGGGCGAATGTCGGTGTTTGGACCCTGAGAAGCCCCAGGCCGGGGTTTGGGCTCGCGCAGCTATGCTCCTAGCGGCCGATGCATGTGCCTTGGGCACAGTTGTTTTGTGTTTTTTTTGGAGTTGTTTAGGGGTTCATGTTTTTTTTTTGGAGTTGTTTAGGGGTTAATGTTTTTTTTGGAGTTGTTTAGGGGTTAATGGTTTTTTGTTTTCCCTTTTTTCCCGACAGCATGGAGGAGGGGTTTTCAGCGGAGGTGGTTGTCGTTAAAGAGTCGTCGTTATATGGATGGCGCGATGGATGAGATGGATGGCGTGATGGATTTCGTGGGTTTTCCTCTTAAAACTGTTATGTTAAAAGCACGGGGTAGGGTTGGCGGGAGCCGCCGCACTTGGTGAACGAAAGTGCAACAACGCTAACCCTCTGCGTGTTTTCGCGTTGTCGAAACGCAAAAACGACGACCCTCTGCGTGGTCTTGGCGTGTCGTGATCGTGCGAACGACAACCCTCTGGGTGTCTTCGCGTTGTCGAAACGCAAAACGACGACCCTGTGCGTGGTCTCGGCGTGTCGTGATTGCATGAACGATGATCCTCTGCGTGTTTTTGCGTTGTCGAGACGCAAATAAGATGACCCTCTGCGTGGTCTCGGCGTGTCGAACGATGATCTTCTGCGTGTTTTTGCGTTGTCGAGACGCAAAAACGGTGACCCTCTGCGTGGGCTCGGCGTGTCATGATCGCATGAACGATGATCTTCTGCGTGTTTTTGTGTTGTCGAAGATGGTTTTCGTGAAGCTTCTTCGTTGCCGTCGTTGACGCAAGGATGGATGTCGTCATGGATGGATGTCGTCATGGATGTCGTGTTGGATGTCGTGATGGATGTCGTGATGTATAATTTCGTACAATAGTGAGGTCTTAATCACGGCTCCAATATGCTTGCGGGACAACCGTTCTCTACTGGTAGTTTGTTTGGGAGGGTTTAGGGATTTTTTTGGTGTCTTTTCGGGGGCTTTATAGACCCTAAACCCTAAACCCCCTCGACCCTTATGACTCCAAGCTGGTTCTGGGGCTTAGGAGTTAGGGGTTTGGCATGTTCCCCCTTGTACTAACAGTCCCTAGTAGGGATTATAGTACCCCCTATTGTAATCCCTATTCTGGACTGTTAGTATCAGGGGGAACATCCCTAGTTAGAGGTTTCTGGGTTTGGGGGCCCTTGATGGCACGATGTGTCGGGGTCCATCTGAAAGTCCTACACCCGATGGCCCGCTCTGAGTCGTTTTAACTTGGGATGTTCCCCCTCCCCCTTGTACTAGCAGTCCTTAGTTGGGATTCTAATAGGGGGGAACTGTCATCCCGATTTTGCATTGTTCGTACAAGGGTGAAGATCCCAAACTGTGTTGGATGTAGGGTGTAGGGTTTAGGGTCCAATGCCGCTTTGTGTCGTGAGATTGCAAGGCAAGATAGTTGGCTACAATGCCCTCGTGAGTGCCTACGAGAAAGGCCTGCGCCTGCCTTGTGACACCAAAGCCCTCAACCCTGACCCCCAACCCCCCCCCCCCACCCCCCCAAAAAAATCTTCCTAAACCTAAGCCCTGAACCTTTAAAGCCCAGCTGAGGCCGGTTACCGTAAAGGCCGTACCAGCCTGCAATTTCACGTTTTCGGCGATGAAAACACAATGCCAATGAACGAGATTGAATGCAATTGCCATGCAAGTTCCCTAAACCCTAAACCCTAACGTTTAGTGGCGTCGGGGTTTAGGGTTCTCAGACCTCTACCCTGTACCCTGCAACGCAACACGTGGAGGCTCTCTGTGGGCTTTGGCATTCGACCTTTGGTCGGGTCTTTCTGGCCGGGAAGCCCTTTGGAATGCGTGTTTTGGTTGCGGGTTTCGAGTTCAGGTTTTGAGGTGGTGCAAGGCGACACCTCCAGATGCTGTAGAGGGCCTTGGGCTTTTCAATTAGGGTGCGATGTACCGGTTTCCACAAAGTAGGATGTCTTGCATTGAGACTGTTGATGGTCTAGTTTGCCCGATCCAGCGGCTCCTGCTAAATGTCCGCCCCCGTTTCACCGTACTGGGCTTCACCCATTTTGCCACTAAACCCGAAACCCTAAACCCCAAACCCTAAACCTTAAACCCTATAAACCCGAAACCCCTCAACCTCAACCCCCTCAAACCCGAAGCAACACACCCGAAACAACACACCTGAGACCCCCAGGCCCGAAACCGCTCAACTGGAGACCATTTACCCCCCCCCCCCCCCCAAAAAAAAAAAAAAACCGGAAAACCCCAAACCCAACCCCTCACCGAAGGCTCCACGCGAACCCGCAGCCCTCGAGCCCTACATGTCCAAAAGCTAGACCTTTAAGCCCTAAACCCTAAGTCCTAAACCCTCCACGGCCTAAAGCCTAAAGCCCAAAGCCAAAAGCCTAAAGACTAAAGCCTAAACCCTAAGCCCTAAGCCCTAAGCCCGAAACCTAAACCCGAAACCCGAAACCCGAAACCCGAAACCCGAAACCCGAAACCCGAAACCCGAAACCCGAAACCCGAAACCCGAAACCCGAAACCTAAACCCTAAACCCTAAACCCTAAATCCTAAAATCCTAAAACCCTAAAACCCTAAACCCTAAACCCTAAACCCTAAACCCTAAACCCTAAACCCTAAACCCTACACCCTAAACCCGGCAATTCTTCAGCCGAGGAGGCCGACGCCGTCACCCACAACTCCGTGATCTGCGCCTGCGACACTTCGGGATCAAAGCGGCCCCCCAGGGTTTAGGGTTTAGGGTTTAGGGTTTAGGGTTTAGGGTTTAGGGTTTAGGGTACAGGTTTAGGGTTTAGAGTTTCGAGTCTTAGGGTCTTAGGGTCTTAGCGTTCCCCGAAAACCCCCTTCTAAAGCCCCCCTTGAACCTCCTTAAACCCCCTAAGCCCCATGAACCCCTTAAATCCCTGAACCCCTTAAAGCCCTTCAACCCCCTTTAACCCCCCCTATAAGCGCTTAAACTCCCCTAAAACCACCTAACACCCCTTAAACCCCTTAAGCCCGTCAACCCCCTTAACACCCCTAAAAGTGCTTAAACCCCACACCCTGACACCCCCGAAGCCCCCACCTTGCATGGCCACCGAGGACGACGAAGGCCGCTGGCCGCTAGCGGTCCACATCTTTGTGTACCTTGGATCAAGGGAGCATACACGAACCGGGTGTCGGGTTTCGGGTCTAGGGGTTGGGGTTTCTAGCGGGTTTAGGGTTTGGGGAGAATCTGGTTTAAGGGATCAGGGTTTAGGTTGTGGGGCTTGGGGTTTCGGGTTCTGGTTCGAGGGTGGAGGTTTCCGTAAAGGCCTGGCGCGCATTGCGAGCGAACTCGTTGGGATGAACAGCGGACAATTGCCCTCACCGTCCGGTACAAGCGCTTGAGAAGGGGACACATGGCTATAGCGCGGCGTAGAACGTCACTGTTTCTGTGTGATGCAATTCTCAGCATCAACGTTATCCGTTCCTGATACTCATATGTTCATCTGAATGATTCTCGGCGTTTGGAAGTTCCATATTACGAACTGGGGTGGGCAGGGGGGCATTTTCATGTTGAGTCGAGGGCATTCTGGCTCTTACTGCTCTTCTGGATATCGCGGGCTTTCTGAGTACAGTAGGTTGGTGCGGTTTACGGTTCCGTGCGTGTCCGACCAGCTGAGGACCTTGCCCGACCTCCGTGTGCACCCAAATGTCGCTCAGTTGCGAATTCTAATATCGGGGTCGGAATAATTGCAAAGAGTATTCCCTGATGGCCCCTTTGCAATTGCACTAAAATAACCCCCAAAACCCTATTCTAAGAATTCAGGCCCCTATATTACCCTCACCTCTAAGCCCTTGCCCCATCTTTGCTCGATGGCATGCTTGTCGCAATCTGAGTATTTGTTCAAACAAGGTTCCCAGAGTAATGGCGCCATATCATTTACTAAACCCTAAACCCTAAACCCTAAACCCTGAACCCTACACCCTACACCCTAAACCCTAGACCCTGAACCCTAAGCCCTAAGCCCTAAGCCCTAAGCCCTAAGCCCTAAACCCTAAACCCTAAACCCTAAACTACCCTAAGCCCTAAACCCTAAACCCTAAACCCTAAACCCTAAACCCTAAACCCTAAACCCTAAACCCTAAACCCTAAACCCTAAACCCTAAACCCTAAGCCCTAAACCCTAAACCCTAAACCCTAAACCCTAAACCCTAAACTACCCTAAGCCCTAAACCCTAAACCCTAAACCCTAAACCCTAAACCCTAAACCCTAAACCCTAAACCCTAAACCCTAAACCCTAAACCCTAAACCCTAAACCCTAAACCCTAAACCCTAAACCCTAACTAAACCCGAAACCTCAAGCCCTAAGCACAAAAACACTGAACCCGACTGCTCCGAGGCTGTTGCCTGCAGTGCCGCCATCAGCGCATGTGAGAAAGGCCTGAGAGTAGGAGTACGTAGGACCAAGTTTAGGGTTTAGGGTTTAGAGTTTAGGGTTTAGGGCTGTTCCGGAATGTGTTCGGAAGGGTTTTGATGTGCTCGTGGTCTCAGACTGTGCGCCAAGTACGGCTCAAGCTTCTAGCCCGAAGCTTGCAAGGAGGTGCCCTGTGCGGTGTAGCTCTCCGCCTTCCACGGCTTGGCTGAGTCATGGGCTTTCTAAAGAAGGTCGTGAAGAAGGTGGAAAAGGCCGTGAAGAGGGCTGCTCCAGTCGTTGCCGGAGCCGTGACCGGAGGCCCCGTCGGTGCGTTGGCGGGCTACCAGGCCGACAGGTTGATGCGCCACAAGGAGAAGATGGCCAAGATCGTGCTCCAACAATTCCAGAGCAGATCGAGATGCTGAAGCAGCTGCGTGACGCAGGTGCGATCACTGCTGAGCAGTACCAAGCTGCCGTGCTGAAAGTTGTAGCTTAGCAAGTCTTCTTGGTCAGATTGAAGACTTGGGCAGGTGTGACATCGCGCTCTGTATGTGCGCGAAACACACACTTCCCGTGATTGGTTTTGTTCAAGCTGCTGTACAGCACCGACGTCTTCAGTGCTGCAACAGTGCTTCAGCCAGAGCGAGCCATGCACCAAGCCTGGAAAACAAGGCCAAAGCAATCACACTGCCTTGTAGCGCCCATGTTGCTAGGCCACTTTTGTGCATGTCTCTGTGTTGACCCGCAGGGTTCATGGGGTTGATAGGGTTTACGGAATTTGTATAGGGTTTAGGTTTAGCGCGTTTGCAGGTTTCATGAGCTTGCGACTTCTGGGCTGTCAAATTTCAAGAGAATGCAAAAGAGAACTAAAAGACCTCTACAAAAGGCCACTTGTAGGGGGTTGTAGGGTTAGGAAGCCTCAAATGCTGTACCCTAAGCCTGAATAGATAACCCAGAAGACCTCAACCCGAAACCCGAGCCCCCAAACCCTGAACCCTAAACCCTGAACACTAAACCTAAACCCTAATTAAACCCTAAGCCCCAATGAAGCCCTAAACCCGAAGCCCTAAGGCCTAAACCCTAAACCCTCAACCCTAAACCCTAAACCCTAAACCCTAAACCCTAAACCCTAAACCCTAAACCCTAAACCCCAAATAGAACCAGGCCAGCAGTGGGAGCTTGCCCTGGCTCTGCTTGCCACCGCGCCGCAGCGGAGCGTCGTGGCCGTCAACGCCGCCATCAGCGCCTGCGCCAAGGCGGGGAGCTCCCTTGATTTAGGGTTAAAAGGATTCAGGGTTTGGGGTTTAGGGTTTGGGGTTTCGGGTTTGGGGTTTAGGGTAAGTTTAGGGTTTAGGGTTCAGGGTTTAGGGTTAAGGGTTCAGGGTTTAGGGTCTGGGGTTTAGGGTTTAGGGTTCAGGGTTTAGCGTTTAGGGTTTCGGGTTTAGGGTTTGGGGTTTAGGGTCTGGGGTTTAGGGTTTAGGGTTGTGCAGGAACTCAAAAATAAGCTTGCCCGGCAAGGAAGCCGCATCATGTTTGTTGTATACATGGTGGGAGTAGGAAGATCATACATTTGTTCCTGTTTGTGGGTAGTTTTTTGCCGTTATTTGTTCATAGCAGACAAAGCCCAAGGAACCTCGGCAGTTTGTTTGGGTTTGAGGGAGAGGAAGCGGGAGAGGGAGCGTGAGAGGGAGAGGGAGCGGGAGGGGGAGAGGGAGAGGGAGAGGGAGAGGGAGAGGGAGAGGGAGAGGGAGAGGGAGAGGGAGAGGGAGAGGGAGAGGGAGAGGAAGAGGAAGAGGAAGAGGAAGAGGAAGAAGCAGAGAGAGGGAGAGAGAGAGCGAGAAGGGGGTTCTGAGTTTGGGTGATTAAGCTCCAGAAGCCCTTAAGCCCTGCAACTCCTCTGGCCCTAAACCCCTCAAAGCCTGGAGCCCGGTAAGCCCAAAACCCAAAAACCCAAAACTTGAAACCCGAACCCAAAACCCGAACCCCTAAACCCAAAACCCTAAACCCAAAACCCAAAACCCGAAACCCTAAGCCCGAATCCTTATGCCCAAGATGCCCGAAACCCAAAACCCTAAACCCGAATCCCTAAGCCCGAGTATACCCAATATGCTCGAAACCCAAAACCCTAAGCCCGAATCCCGAATATGGAGGCTTACGAAAATAAGAAAATAAGGGGCCCCCAATATGGACCCCAAATAGTAGGACCCCTATAAAAAAGGACCCGATTAAGGTAGCCCTATGATTGTAAAGCCCCCTATACCCAAGATCCCTATACTCCTGGGTCACCCTAAACCCTAAACCCTGAACCCTAAACCCTGAACCCTGAACCCTAAACCCTAAACCCTAAACCCTGAACCCTAAACCCTAAACCCCAAGCCCGAATCCTTATACCAAAGATGCCCAGGCCGCGTGTTGGTCGCAGGCCCTGGCAGCCCTAAGGAGCCTCGCCGGCGCGCACTTGGCCCCGGACGCGGCCTGGCGCAAGAGCTGGGGCAATTGGCATTGTTTAGGGTTTAGGGTATTAGGGTTTAGGGTTTTAGGGTGTAAGGTTTAGGGTTTAGGGTTTAGGGTTTAGGGTTTAGGGTTCAGAGCTTAGAGTTTAGGGTTTAGGGTCAGGGTTTGGGGGGGGTTTAGGCTTGAAGGCTGCTTGAGTTTAGGGTTTAGGGTTCGGGGGTTTAGCGGGAGGTGCCTGCACGAGTCACGCTCGCGGTTGTAGGTGGGGGTGACCCAGAAGTGGTTCGAAGCTCCTTGTTTTGGGGGGGTGCTTAGAACCAGACCCCTCCAAGTAGGGTTTGAGGCTTCTGGGTAATTCAGGGGTTTCAAGAGTTTTGAGGCCCAGGCTTTGCAGTTCTAAGGCTCTAGGGGCCCAGTCGCATAATGCATAACCCTTAAGGGGAAGCCCCGGGCTCCAAATCCTCAGCCTGGAAGTCGAGACCCTCAAATGCCATCTTAACACGTTTGAAGGCAAGGCCCAAGGAACTCAAGAGAAGCCCCAAACTGGAAAGAGCAACGTGAAGTTGAGTTGTTTTTCTCAGCGTGGGGCTTACTTGGGATGCTGTTGCGGATCCGGCTCAACTGTTCGATGTAAGGTGCAGGGGGTTCAGGGGTTATGGGCTTAGGCGTTTAAGAGCCCGAAGCCCGAAGCTAAACTTTTTGAGCCCCGACCAGAAGATCATCTCTTGAGATGTTCGCCCTTATACTAGCAGTCCTTCATTCAGGATTCTACTGGGGGCTATATTCTAGGGTTTAGGGTTTAGGGTTTTGGGTTTAGTTTAGGGTTTAGGGTTTACTTTCATAAGGGGGGAACACCCCAGGTCATCTCCTTCAATGCGGCCACCTTTGCATGCCAGATGACGGGGCGGTGGCGGACGGCCCTGCGCCCTGGTCCGCAGTGACCCTGCAAACTTTGTTGGTTCGCATGTCGTGAGTAAGGCTAAGGTTCCCCAAACCCGAAGCCCTACTTAGGCCCTGAACCCTAAACCCCAAAACCTACCTTTTGAACCCTGATCCCTAAACCCTGCAAACCCTAAACCCCAAACCCTAAACCCTAAACCCCAAACCCCAAACCCTAAACCCTAAACCCGAAACCCTCGCTTATAATCCCCTTAAAACCAAAAAGGGCAATTACCCTTTCTACTCCTAGGGTAAAATCCCCTTAACACCATGTTCCAAGGTTCTCCTGAATCCTAAACCCTAAACCCTAAACCCTAAACCCTAAACCCTAAACCCTAAACCCTAAACCCTAAACCCTAAACCCTAAACCCTAAACCCTAAACCCTAAACCCTAAACCCTAAACCTGGGTCTAGAAGCTCTTTCACACAGCAGCCGAGGAGCCTTCTGGCGGAGTGCGGCCTGCAAGCCGCCCTGGACTTGGTGCTTAGGGTTTAGGTTTTAGGGTTGAGGGTTTAGGGTTTAGGGTTTTTCCCTCAGGGGGGTGTAGGGTTGAGGGTTTAGGGTTTAGGTTTTAGGGTTTAGGCTTAGGGCTTAGGGTTTAGGGTTCTAGGGTTTAGGGCTAAGGGTCTAGGGTTCAGGGTTTTAGGGTTTAGGGCATAGGGGTTAGTGCTTAGGGTTTTAGGGTTTTAGGGTTTAGTGTTTAGGGTTCAAGTTTTTTGGCGTAAGCCCTGGAACCCTGCATCCCCATAAAAAGTGCGTCTCAGTGCTCCTTGCTGATCTTGGGGGGTTTACGAGACTACGGGACCCCTAATTTAGACCCCCAAGTCGTCGGATCCCCTTATGATAAGGACCCCAATAAGGCACCCCTAACTTAAAATTGTAGGACCCCCGTTATAAGAAGGACCCCAATAAGGCACCGAATAGTATCGTAAACGCCCATTTCCTCTCCGGCGGTTCTCGGGTGGTTCTGCCTCGCCACGGTCAGGTCGAGCCCGACCTCATCACCTTCAACACAGCCATACTTGCATGCGAGAAGCCAGGCCCTCTCATGCCTCGCTCTGTTCCCCTAATTCAGCCGCAACCCTTAGCCCTAAACCCTAAACCCTAAACCCTCAACCCTAAACCCTGATTCGCCGAAAGCAGCTTCCCTTTTGAAGGGGGTATTTTGAAGCAGGGTTATCATAAGTAACCCCCCCGCCGCTCTCCCTCCCAAACTAGGTCGTGTGATACTGAACCGGTTGCAACGAGAGATGCTGAGAGCCAGTGAAAGCCACCCATGGACCCCACAACGCACCTAGTTCATAACCTCCAACCTTTAGGGGTACATACAATCCTACCAGAATTCGCAGCTTCACCTTCTTTGGGCAGGGTACTCAGCAGCTGGGCCAAGAGGCCCAAGCTGAAGGCCCGAAGCCATGCAGGACGCTGGGAAGCAGCTCTTGGCCATCTCGACGACCTGGCGCTCCACGGATGGCAAGGCGCGCACCCCCCCCCTCCCTTCCGGGGCTTCTCAGAGAAGCTCAAAGGGCCGCCCTAAAACCTTAAGCCCAGCGCGGCGTCAGGGGACCCGAAGTACGGGCCCTTAACTTGGGTCCCTTGTTATAGAACCCTTATTACAAACTATATACATATATATATATATTTCTGCATGATCAGGGCCCATGCTTCGGATCCCTATCAACAAGGGTAAGGGGCCACACTAAGGGCCCATGGTTCCAACCTCAGAGGTGCGGCCGCCCCGAGTTCTTCTTGCCTTCTCACAAGTGAAAAGTCGTCTCTTGCAGAGCCGCAACTTGCCTCTGTAGCCCCTAAAGGGCCCCTAAAGGGCCCCGAACCCTGCGAAGGCCCAAGCCGGATCTCCTTGCACCAGGCGACTCGCTGACCTACAATGGCCTGCTGCGGGTTTGCTCGCAAGGCGGGACTTCGGGTGATAGGAGCCAAGGACAACCGCAATCGTGATTAGAGCCAAAAAGTGGCAACGTAGCGGGAGCACGAACATCAGCAACAATGAAGGATGGGGGGGGGGGTTGCGGTTGGTTGGCTTTAGGCAGGTTCGGGGGGGGCTTAGGCTCGGGTTTATGGCGTGCCTTTGCCGCTTTAAGATGTATGTCATTGATTCACCCCCCCCCCCCCCCCCCAAAACAGATCGATTCTAATGAAGGAGGCCGTTCCTTCACCCCTAAACCCAACCCCAAACCCCCCCCCACTCAGGCAGGCAGTGGCAGCGGGTTCTGCCTCTGCTGTCCACAATGGATGAGAGCCAGCTTCAGGGCAATGCGGTCGCTTACGAAGCGGCCGTCCGAGCAGATCGGCCGCAGGGCAATGGGACACCTACAACCCTAAACCCCAAACCCTGAACCCTAAACCCTACACCCTACACCCTACACCCTAAACCCTAAACCCTAAACCCTAAACCCTAAGCCCTAAGCCCTAAGCCCTAAACCCTAAACCCTAATCCCTAATCCCTAAACCCTAAACCCTAAACCCCAACACCTAAAAGCCCTAAACCCCGCTGAGGCTTCCGAGGAGGCTTCGGTTCCTGTGCAAACTCTGGCCCTCCTCCGCCGGGCCCGGGAAGATGTGTTGGGGTTTAGGGTTTAGGGTTTAGGGTTTAGGGTTTAGGGTTTAGGGTTTAGGGTTTAGGGTTTGGGGGTTTGAGGGTTTGGGGGTTTACGAGATTGGGGGAGGAGGAGGGCCTCGCTGGCTCCTCGGTGACATTTGGTCTGGGTGCCAGGGCTGACGAGGTGCGTCAGGGGCTGTCTGAGGGTGTAGGGCTTCTGGGCTTGGGAGTACTCTACTTTAATACTTTTCTTGGTTCTGGGTTCCTGTTACAGCTACTTATACCTAAAAAGTATATACCTTTTTTCCAGGGTCTACTCCACAGTAGGGGTTTAGGCCTACATAATTTGCAACATTTCCCTCATAACCACTCTAGAAGTATGAAGCAAGCTGCCCAGCTTCATCCACTCTAGCCAAATGGGCCGCTGTAGTAGTCTTCTGAATGGGTGTCGGTCCAAGTTATGGGCCCCCTTTCACCCTGTAACCCTAAAACCGTATAACGCTGTAACCACTCTATACCTCTCTCTCTATAAATATAATATATATATATATACATACATACATATAAATTAGCACCCGAAATCTTTACAACCCTATGACCCTGCAAGTATCCCTATAACCCTAGCACCCTACAATCCTGAACTCTGAGCCCCTATAACGCTTTTCGTGCGGCTTTCTCACCAAACCGGCTGGTAGGTCTCGTCAGCTTTGTGGAGTTCGACTCAGGGCTCTGATTTCGGACTTTTTTGGGGGGCTTTTGGGGGGTGAAGTGCCGGGTTACAGGGTTGGGGTGTTCGGGATTTCGGGGTTTAGGGTTATAGGGCTATTACAGGGTTATAGGGTTTTTAAGGGGTTAGGGGTTTGGGGTTATTAAGGGTGTTACGGGTTGTCGGTGTTAGGGTGCTCGGGTATTGGGATGTAGGGGGATCTCCGTTTTTTTCTTTCTCCGCAGGCCAAGCAGCGTGAGGCACCCTAAAGCCCACCCCAAAAGCCTAAGCCCCCAAACGCTGAACCCCAAGCCCCTAAATCAAAGGCGTTTTAGGGTTTGGGAGGGGTCCAAGGTTTAGGGAACCCTACAACCCTGAACTCCAAACCCTTAAACCCTAAACCCGAAACCCTACACCCTAAACCCTAAACCCTAAAACCCGAAACCCCAAACCTTTAACCTCCGACCCCAAGCAAAGCGACTCCAAGTCCGCAAGCTCCTCAACACCGAAGACTTGAAAACCTCGACTCCTGAAGCGGCCCCGGAACCTTAAGCCCTAAACTCCCATAGGGTTTAGGGTTTAGGGTTTAGGGTTTAGGGTTTAGGGTTTAGGGTTTAGGGTTTAGGGTTTAGGGTTTAGGGTTACCCTGGACCACCAAACCCTAAACCGGGTTTAGGGTTTGAGTTACCCCGGACCTCCAACGCCCAGACCCGAAAGCGTCTCAGGTTTCGGGGGCTGCAGATTCTTCTGAGCCTCTGCTTGGTGGACTTGTGGCGCTCACTGCTTTGCCGCTTTGAGCTTGTAGCTTTGGGGGGGGGGGGTTTTGCGGAGGCTTAGGGGTTTTGGGCGTCGGGTTTAGGGTTGAGGTACCCTAGACCTACTAATTGCTTAAGAACCCCGAAATGATAAAAAAAACTATTCTTAGCAGCGAGCGCCTGACGCATGAGTCTATGGGGGCCGAAAACCGATGCGGAGTCAAAAGGGAGCCACGCCTTGAGTCTGTATTTCACGGAGCCGCCTGTTTTGCGGCCCTTACATAGTACGAGTTGCTCCTTTTTGCGGCCCTGTTGATACTCATCATCAAGTCTTAAGGGGACTGCTGCTGTATGGGGCGCCGGAAACCCTAAACCCTAAACCCTAATCCCTAAACCCTAAACCCTAAACCCCAAACCCCAAACCCCAAACCCTAAACCCTAAACCCCTAAGATCCCTGCAGAGCCCCTCGAAAAACCTCTACAAAATCCCCTGCAGAATCCCTACAGAGCCCCGATCAATCCTCTACGAGCCCTCGCCCCTGGAACCAGGTGCCCATGCAATGTCGGTTCAGGGCCCAGCTGGGTCGGCTAAGGGTTTCGGGGGGTTCAGGGTTGGGTGTTCAGGGTTCAGGGTTTGGGGGTTTTGGGTTCAGGGTTTGGGGTTTGGGGTTTAGGGCTTGGGGTTTGGGGCTTAGGATTTAGGCTTTAGGGCTCAGGGTTGAGGGTTTGGGGTTTCTGCTTGAAAGCCAACAACTACGGGAAAAGTTTTGGACCCCGCGTTACACAACTTGCCTCGTGATGCCTCCCCGAAAACAGTTTGGTCCTGTGCCTGTGTCAGTTCTGCTGCACTTCGGAAAATGCAAGGTTCTGCGAGGTTTAGGCTCTAGGGTTCAACAAAAAGCTTGGTATCATAATGGGCAGCTGTAACCTACCAGGTCAAGGGTTGAGGGGGTGTGAATTGTAGGTATGTCCTACCCCCCAGGCCGGAAGCCCTCAACCCTAAACCCAGGGATACTTGGAAACTCAATGCTGAAAAGTGTGTACTATAATTCCTAAGAAGCAGCTCAAAATGAAAATTCTTGCTAGGGTTCCAAGTGCAGTAGAGTAAAAGCCAAGCCTAAAAAGCCCCAAAAATGATCTGCCGAGAGTCGATATGCGCCTGAGGCACGGTGCGGTCACCGGCTCGCCGTTGCTGGTGGGAGGCCTTAGACCCTCACGAAACACGAAACCCCAAACCCTAACCCTAAACCCTAAACCCTAAATCCTAAGCCTTCTGGAAGTGCTGGTTTCCAACTCATTGTTTTTTGTGTTTTGGTAGAAGAAGTGTAGAAAGCCCACACCCGAAGCCTTAACCGTAAAGCCTAGACCCTTACAACCTCAAAAGGTTTTGGGAGTTCGTCGGATGGCAGAAAAGTGTCCGGGAATGCGGCCTGCGACGGGTGTCCGCAGGAGCTCTGCATGCTTCCGTGCCTCAGCTCGTCGAGGAGCACGCGCAGGCGTTAAAGCCCTAGCTCCACCAAAGACTTTTCAGGGTTTAGGGTTTAGGGTTTAGGGTTTAGAGCCCTAGATCCCCAAAAACCCTAAAGCCAGAAATCCCAAAACCCCAAAGCCCTAAACCCCCCACAACCCGACATCCCAAGACCCCGATGCCGAACCTTAAGCGAGTTTAGGGTTTAGGGTTTAGAGTTTAGGGTTTAGGGTTTAGGGTTTAGGGTTTAGGGGGGGCTTACTTCTCTTAACATCGAGAGCCTAAGCAGCAGAATTGCAGTTGCAGGGGGGGGGTCTTCGGTTAAGGTCTTTAGGGTTGCGGGTTTAGGGGTTTAGTGTTGAGGTTTCAGGGTTTTAGGGTTTTAGGGTTTGGGGTTCTAGGGTTTAGGGTTTAGGGTTTAGGGGTTCAGGGCTTAGGGTTCAGGGTTCAGGGGTTTAGGGTTCAGGGGTTGAGGGTTCCTCCGCTGCATTCTCTGGCTCCGCAGGCTTCAGCCGGCCGCCAGGGCCAGGACTTCAGGTCCAGGGCTTCCGAGGCCAGCTTGCTGAGCAGCTTTGCTGTCACCATCATAGGGTTTAGGGTTTTAGGGTTTTAGGGTTTTAGGGTTTTAGGGTTTTAGGGTTTTAGGGTTTTAGGGCTTTAGGGTTTTAGGGTTTTAGGGCTTTAGGGTTTTAGGGTTTTAGGGCTTTAGGGTTTTAGGGTTTTAGGGGTTTTAGGGTTTTAGGGGGTTTTAGGCTTAGGGCTTTAGGGTTTTAGGGTTTTAGGGTTTTTAGGGGTTTTCGGGTTTAGGGCTTCAGGGTTAGGGTTAGGGTTTTAGGGGTTTTAGGGTAGGGGTTAGGGGGGGTTTTTTAGGGTTTTAGGGCTTTAGGGCTTTAGGGTTTAGGGTTTTAGGGGTTTTGGGTTTTAGGTTTTAGGGTTTCGGGGTTTTAGGGTTTTAGGGTTTGGGGTTTTAGGGCTGCTTTTAGGTTTTAGGTTTTAGGGCTTTAGGGTTTAGGGTTTAGGGCTTTAGGGCTTTCGGGTTTAGGGTTTTAGGGTTTGGTGTTAGGGTTTTAGGGTTTTAGGGCTTTAGGGGGTTTTCGGGTTTTAGGGGTTTTCGGGTTTAGGGCTTCAGGGTTTTTTTTTAGGGTTTTAGGGGTTTTAGGGTTTTAGGGGTTTTAGGGGTTTTAGGGTTTTAGGGCTTTAGGGCTTTAGGGTTTTAGGGGTTTTAGGGGTTTTAGGGTTTTAGTGCTTTAGGGTTTCAGGGTTTTAGGGTTTTAGGGGTTTTAGGGTTTTAGGGCTTTAGGGTTTTAGGGTTTTAGGGTTTTAGGGGTTTTAGGGTTTTAGGGTTTTAGGGTTTTAGGGTTTTAGGGGTTTTAGGGTTTTAGGATTTTAGGGTTTTAGGGTTTTAGGGTTTACGGCTTAGGGTTTAGGGTTGAGGGTTGAGGGTTGAGGGTTGAGGGTTGAGGGTTTAGGGTTTAGGGTTTACACGAATGTATAAATCAGCCATCTGCAGAGTATCTGGGCATCAGGACCAAAACGCGCGCAAAAGAAGATGAGATACGGATACCAAATTCCCTAAACCCTAAATCCCCAACCCTAAACCCTAAACCCTAAACCCTGAACCCTGAACCCTGAACCCTAAACCCTAAACCCTAAACCCTAAACCCTAAACCCTGCTCGGGTCAAACGAAGCCTGGGCTTCCTCAGGCTCACTGTCCTCTGTGGGAGTGAGGGACACTTCTAATGGACCTCCAAATAGTAGAACTTCGTCGTAGCGTAGGTAACCTTTAACCTTTTTGGGGTCATAGAATCCCTCTATCATCCCAAAGGTTAATCTGTAGTTCCCCTAGGTACTGGACAACTAAGAGAATTCCATGAAAATAAGGACCCCGATAAGGTACCCCGAATTTTTGGAAACCCATGTGCTGTCTGGCTGTGCCGCGTGAAGGGCCTAAACATAGCATTTCGCTTGACTTTCAACTTTTACCTTCCACTTAAAAAAAACAAAAGTCAGAAGGGTCTCCCCATCTCTCTGTAGGTCTTTTTGTTCCCGCTGGTTGTTCGCTGTGCCTGTTCCTGCTCATCCAACTTACCAACTCGAGCAGCCCCTGCTACCCTAAACCCTAAACCCTAAACCCTAAACCCCAAACCCTAAACCCTAAACCCTAAACCCTACGCCCTAAACCCTAAACCCACTTCAGACGGGTCTCCGCATGTTCAGCCTTCGGTCTGGCGAGCCATCGCCAAACGAGAGCGACATGCGAGGAAAGCAGAGAAGAGATGTTGATAGCGCAGCCGTGGTATATGGCGGGAGCCTAGGAATGGAAGGACCTAGGGTTTAGGGTTTAGGGTTTAGGGTTTTAGGTTTTGGGTTTAGGGTTTAGGGTTTAGGGGGTGTAGGGGGTTTAGGGTTTAGGATTTTGGGTTTTAGGGTTTAGGGTTTAGGGTCTCTAGCGTTGGGGGGGAGGTCCGTGGCGGCAGCTTCGTTGCCGTGCCCAGCGCGGGCCACGGGGTGTGGGGACCAAGACAGTCAGGAGAGGCTTCGGGGCGTAGGGTTTAGGGTTGAGGGTTTGGTGTTAGGGTTTAGGGTTTATAGGGTTATAGGGTTATAGGGTTATCGGGTTTAGAGTTTAGGGTTTAGGGTTTAGGGTTTAGCTTGCATGATGGTGATTCCGGGAGTGGCACAGCTCACTGTAGGGCTTCGGTAGTTTACTGCGGAAGCCGGCGTTTGTACTGCAGGGTAACTTGTATGAGAACCCCTAAAAAGTAAGCCCCCCCCCCCAAAAAAAAAGAAAAACAACAGAAAAGAAGCACCCCTCCCCCACAAATTCTGAGCTCCACTATTCCCTCAAACCCTAAGCCAGACTTGGAACCCAAGCCTGACCGCAAGGCTTGAGACCAAACAGCCCTAGACCTAGACCCCAAACCTGGTTCAGGGTTGAGGGTTTGGGGTTTAGGGTTTGGGGAAAGGGGGGTTTGGGAGGGGTTAGGTGTTTGGCATTTAAGGTTTATGTGAGACTCAGAATTGGAGCATCCCGAGGCGCACGACTTGGGAATTGGGGCTTAGAGTTTGGCCCGAACCCCCCCCCCCCCCCCCCCCCCCCCCGAAGTCAAGCCCACAGCCCTCCCTCAGCCCAAAGTCCCTGATCTCCCTAAACCCTAAACCCTAAGCCCTAAACCCTAAACCCTAAACCCGCCCACCCTCTCGTTCTAGAGGTGAGTGGGCGCGGTCGAGCGCTCAGCGAGACCACGCAGGCCCGATCTCGGGCCTGCAGGCACACCCCTGCAGGGGTCGCCAAGCTTGGTCGCCAAGCACAGTCCCTAGTATATTCTATTACCCTAAAACCGAGCCTTTGCTCTTGGGAGGTGTTTTTCTAACCTGGCCTGGGGCCCCCCTGGAGGCCTCCGGGGCCCCTCTGGGGGCGGTGCCGACTGCGGCCTTCGTTGCTGGACCAGAGGCCCTTTTTCGGGCTCAGCCTGGGCCACTGCTCAAAAATCGCGTTTTTCGGCTTCAGGCCCTTTTTTTCCATCTTCGAGCCTGGGAGGCCCCTGGGAGGCCCCTGGGAGTGGGAGGCCTGGGAGGCCCCTGGGAGGCCCCTGGGAGGCCCCTGGGAGGCCCCTGGGGAGGCCCCTGGGAGGCCCCTTGAAAGGCTGGAGGCGCCTGGGAAGCCTCTAAGCACACACCGGCATAGAGAATAGAAACAATGAGAAGGCCCTCCGGCCGAAGACGTCCCCCAGCGCAAAACCTGAATTGTCTCGCGGGAGGTGTTTTCCAACCTGGCCGGAGCCCCCCTAGGAGGCCTCCTTGGCCTTCTGGAGGGCCTCCCGACAGCGGGCCTGAAAGGCTTTTGGGAGGCCCCTTTGAAAACCCTGCCCTCCTGGAAGGGTTCTGGGAGGTCGAAAGCCCTCAAGGCTCTCTGAAGTTTTGGAGCCAGGTTCGGGGAAGCCCCTGCGCAAAACCTGAATTTTTTCTTCTAGACACACACCGGCATAGGATTAGAAACGATGAGAAGGCCCTCCGGCCGAAGACGTCCCCCTGCGCAAAACCTGATTTTCTCCTGCAAATTTCTAAAGAATACAAACAATGAGAGGCTCTCCGGCCGAAGACGTCCCCCAGCGCAAAACCTGAATTTTTCTATCGCAAATTTCTAGAGACACGCCGGCATAGAGAATAGAAACAATGAGAAGGCCATCCGGCCGAAGACGTCCCCCAGCGCAAAACCTGTTTTTTTTGCTACAAGTTTCTTGACGTGACTTTCACAAGGCACCCTTCTAGCAACAGGTCTTTCGCCAAGCAGCCTTGACATTCCGGCATAGCCTTCCGGCCGAAGACGTCCCCCAACGCAAAACCTGAATTTTTCTCTCGCAAACTTCTAGACACACACCGGCATAGAGAATAGAAACAATGAGAAGGCCCTCCGGCCGAAGACGTCCCCCAGCGCAAAACCTGAATTTTCTCTCGCAAGCTTTTAGACATACCTTTCACAAGGCATCTTCCTAGCAGCAAGTCTTTCGCCATGCAGCCTTGACACTCCAGCGTAGGGAACAGAAACAATGAGAAGGCCCTCCGTCCGAAGACGTCCCCCTGCGCAAAACCTGAATTTTCTCCTGCAAGCTTCAGGCATGACTTCCATAAGGCTCCTTTCTAGCAACAGGAGGTTCTATTTCCAAGGCAGCTTCTTAAATGTTACCATGCAGCAAGGCATCTTCAAAGCAAATTTCGTAACATCAAAAAACATAATGGATACTGGTCCGAAGTACAGCATTAAGTGCAGAAGTGTTTGAATGTGGGCTGGCTTTGGTTCGGCTGGCTCTGGTTTGTTTCGCTGCAAGTAGTGTTTGGGTGGCCTTTGGGGTGGGCATGTCTGCACACAACTGCGTACAGCTGACCCGTGCTACACCCTAAACCCTAAACCCTAAACCCTAAACCCTAAACCCTAAACCCTAAACCCTAAACCCTAAACCCTAAACCCTAAACCCTAAACCCATAAACCCTAAAACCCGAAACCCTAAACCCCAAACCACCCGTAACGGCCGAAGCCCTAAGGAACCTAAGCCCTGCAATTTAGGGTTGAGGGTTTTGGATTGATTTGGGTTGTTTTTTTTGTTTATGGTTTACTGTGTTTTTTGGGTTTTGGTTTTTGGTTTTGCGTTTTGGTTTTTTGTTGGGTTTTAAGTTTTGTGTAGCGTTTGGGGTTTAGGGTTCGACCCGGATATACCATTAAACCCCCAGCCATGCGCTTGCGAGTCGACAGGTTGCTGTCGCCAAGCAGAACATTCCAGTGCCCCACAGGTGGGGTCGGGTGGGCTGCTGCAGAAACTCCATATTAGGGGACAAAGAGATTCCGTGGGGCGATTTGCTCCCTCTCTCTCTCTGTCCCTCCCAAGGATGCCTGAATTCTGAATAAAGATCCCTGCTCCCTAAGCCCTGAACCCTCAAGTTACAGGGTGCGCTCCTAAATCTGATTGAGGAGTGTTGGGGTTTCGGGGTGGGTTCCAGGGTTTGCCTGTGACGCCAAAATGGAGCTCGGGGTTTCAAGTGCGTCTTTTTTTCTTGGCTGTGAGGTCAAAGAGAAACGGAAACTACTTGATGCTTTGAGATTTAATATTGAGTTTGCTCGTAAGGTATTTCCATGTAGCTTCTTTCCACCATTTTTTTGATCTTCCTGCGTAACCCACCGAAATGGGCGAATGGGCGAGCGGTTCTCGCTCTCGTTTCTTTTTTGTTTCCCTCTCTCTCTCTTTCTCTATCTCTCTCTCCCCCTCTCTTTTTCCGTCTCTCTCCAGCTCTCTCTCTCTCTCTCTCTCTCTCTCTCTCTCTCTCTCTCTCTCTCTCTCTCTCTCTCTCTCTCGCTCTCTCTCTCTCTCTCTATATATACACATATCTGCTGCTTGGCCATTTCTTAGGCGGGGTGTTTCATAACTCAGTTGGGTGTGTCTAGACACAGTTTATAATGCCGGACTAGAGGTCTGCCTTACTGACCTCGCAAGGGACGATGTCGTTCTGCGAACTCAAAGTCAAAAAGTCTCAGTCTCTCTCTCTCTCTCTCTCTCTCTCTCTCTCTCTCTCTCTCTCTTCCTCCCTCTCCCTCTCTCTCTCTCTCTTCCTCCCTCTCCCTCTCTCTCTCTCTCGTTTTATTCGCCCATCAGACATTTGTTCCCTTGTTCTTGTGTTCCAAGAAATAAGATAGCTTTTGCTCATTTACAATGAACAAACTATAGTTCTCAAGCTGAATGAAATGTTGAAGCGCCTTTGGTTCACATACAAAGCTTCATCCTTAATCCAGGCTTTTTTAGCCAAGAGCTCTGTATTTTCTGCGAATTGTTTGTAAACGACACACGGCCTCTCACTCGTCATACATTCTCATTAGTTCAATGCATACAACTCAAAGAGTCATCTAGTTGACTCACCTTCGCTTGCCCAAGTTCGAACCATAAAGGACTTCACGAACTTGAGTAACAGATTTCGAGGTTTGCTGTACTGCTCAGACGTCTGATACTCGTAACCGGCTGCGTAGCCATACAGATCATAACCAAACAAATGCGCACCTCGGAGGCCTTTTTTCCACCACACCCGTGCTGCTGCTACTACTGCGGTCGCCCTTGGTGCTGCCATCCATACTGCAATTAGTTTGGTTGCTGTTGAACCCCACGGCGTTCCATTTCGTGTTGAGGACGGGCCCAGGTGAAGGTGTTCCCACGCAAAGGGCGAGAATCAGGCGTCTGTGGGGACGGTGATGGTGGTGAGGGTTTGGACCCTCTAGATCCATGTCAGCCGGGGCGGTCCAGCGGCTACACTCGAACGTTTTGTACTACTTGCATATGGGACGGGGACCAATAGTGGGCTGTGAGGAGAGGGTGGGCGTGAGGGCGGGGAGGGCGCAGAGCCAAACTTGGCTGCAGGGTGTGGAGGGACTTGGGGGGTGGGGGGTTTGGGAGGGCGGTGAGTGCGCAAGCAACTAAGAGGAGGACCAGTAGTGAGGCACTCTGCGAGGATCAGTAGTGGGGTCTGTGAGGTATGGGGGGGGGGAAGAGGGTTCTGACGAAAATACAGGTCTTCACTAAAGCCGCCCCGGCTGCCAGGGGGTTGGCGGATTAAGCTCGCCGTTGGTTCAAGTTGTGCTTCCGACTTGCCGTTCCCTAGCACGGTGTGCTGCGTGAGACCCATGGATATCCATGGATACCCTTCAACCTCGAGCAGCATCAACTCTGGAATTCTGAGGGTGCCCGGACATGAAGGGTCAGCTGCAGGCAAGATGCAAAAACGCAGAACGCAGCTAAGTTTTTGAACGCCGCAGCGAGGTTTGAGCGATTTTGGACTACCCTCCATTCACCCAACCTGATGCTGGTGACGGCTCCGGTTCAGGATGGGCCGCGCCTCTCGGAGCAGCTCTTTCTACCCCCGTGCTCGCAACCAAATAGTAACGGTGTTACTGCGTTGCCTCCCACAGCATCCGCAGCGCAGAACTTGGCAAACGCCGCCAAAGCATCTTAACAATGTGCAGTCACTGTTGCTGAGTAGGCAATCTTCAAGGGATCGGCTGCTGCACGAGCGACTAGTTTTTGATGCGATGTCATTCGTCATGTCGTCTTCTGCAGGCAACATGTCACCGTGTAGCCATAGACATGACTGAGTGTTGAGAAGAACGGAAGAGTTTTGTCGGGAATGACAACAACATCGGGTGGACACAAGTTCCGAATCGAAGCAGCAAGTTGATTGATCCGGGGCGAAGCACGCGCGCCCCTTGCCTCCTCTTGCCATGGACGGACGTGCTCAGGTTGCGAGCGACTAGCAGGTTATGCCGATCAAACATCTGCTTACTCGGCAATCTACGGCGATGCTATTGGCAAAGCTACGAACGACCTGGCTGAGCTCTTTTACGACCTCCTTCCCAAGCACACGAACCGCGCCAAGGCGACGCGAGATGCTTCAGGCAAAGCCATAACTATAACTGCTGGGTTTTCTGACAAGGAGCCGCTTTCTTCGCCGATGTCACCGCTGCGAAGCAGCAAAAGGAACATTGTTTACGCCGTGTTTGGCGAAGCGCCGCGAAGGTTCACACCGAATGTGAACTGTGGAGACTACTTGAGTAGTGGGTCACTCAGTAGTCAGAGGCAATCCTTTGTGCGTGAACGGTAAGTCAGGGTCGCGGGAACCGTCGGTTGTCATGGATGCCGACACAAGATATCCCAAGTAGGAAAGGCGCGGGGGAACCACATCTGTGAAGTCGGAGACTTTTTTGAACTTAGTCTGGCTCCATTGGGCTTAAGATCCTGCAACATCCTCAGTCGGGTTTATCTGGGTAGTTCTTGCTGTTAACTGGTGCTGCTCAAAGTGGAATCTGGCAACAGGGAGAACGACATCGTGTCACTGTCTAGGTTGCGTGGCTGAGTGGCGAGGTTTGCAGGCGGAGAGGGTGCTTCTAAAACTTGGCTGCCTGCCGAGATGCCGCGTGAAACCAATACATAGCTTGAAGGCAAACGTGCTGTCAAGTCAGCGACAGGGACTTCACCTTTGATCTCGCAGGCGTGAAGTCTTAATGACCAGGTGCGTTAAGGACCCTCAACTTAAAATTGGCATGACGACCTGGATCCTGACAGACTTCCTGCTTGGGAAACATTTTTGAAGCATTCACAACAACGCTGGCAATGTTGGTGTCGCTCAGTTCAAAACATCCTCCATTCTTTGCTCCTAACTATTTCAGGAATCCAATCAACAAAAAGGCTCTTGACTTGCAGATGTGTCGTCATACAGGTCTGCACCTTTGCGGGGTTGTCCAATAAAAGTTTGCCGACGCACGTTTCAAGTGAAATAGAGTTTTTATCTTCTTGGTGTTCGTGAGCACTTTATTCACATCGTCCGGCCTCGTCTCCTTCTTCTCGTTGTTCTTCAGCGGGTTTTTCTTCACAGTTTTCACGGTCTTCGCAGAAGAGGCTTTCCCCCAGGTCACTCGAAAAGACAACCAAACCTCAGGAAGCTTCTGGGCCGACGTTGAACCCTGAACTCCAAACCATGTCTGCTGGGTACGGTCTGGAGCAGGGAGTTTGGATTTCAGTATTTCCGCGTTCAGGTCGCTGTGATTCACTGGCATGACGCCAAACCGTAATACTTCTGTGCTCTTATCCTTGAGGCTGTGAGCGAATGTTTCTTCTCGTCATCAAGATTGTATTTTTCTTTCATCATCAAGGAGTTTCCCCTACAGAATACTGCAAAATCAATAGATTTTTTTTGGCTGCGGTTGCTGCTGTTGCTGCTGCTGCTGTTGCTGCGGCTGCTGCTGCTGAATGCTGAATGCTGCTGACTGCCGCTGGCACTACTACTGGTGCTGGTGCGGTGCCGGTGGTGACTGGTGCTCGTGCTGGTGCTGAGGTTCCTGCTGAGGGTGCTGCTGAAGGTGGTGGTGAGGTTGTGGGTGGGTGGTCTGTTACTACTGCCATAAGACGGACCCGCCGCAACTTTGCAGTGGCACTCGAAGAGAACGTGGAAGTGCGGTAGGAAAAAGAGCGGAGTGGAGGAAAGGGTGTTCCGAACACAGCCTCAAAAAAAATAGTGTTGTTCACATATTGCTTCCATGCTGCCAGCCGTTGACGTTCAGCATTTTTAGTTGGCATGAAGGTTTTTCAGGCGTGAGGGCGTTTAGGGCTTTTGGGGCTTCAGGTGTCTTTTGGGGCCTTTTAGGGTCTCTCCAGGGCCTTTAGCAGTAAACTTTGGCACGTCTCAAGGTCAAGGGCTTGACGGCTTCTGGGGGTGTGCAAGGTCTCAACGATGCTTTAAGTTCAGGGTCTTAACTTTTTTTGGCTTCGGGTTCCCAAGGGAGTTACCCTGAACCCTAAACCCTAAACCCTAAACCCCAAACCCCAAACCCTAAACCCCAAACCCGAACAGAAGGGCCTGCCATGGGGCCTGCGTTTTACATACCACATTTCTTTGTAAAACTCTTCCGCTTGTGTGTGTTTGCGGGTTTCGTAATTCTTCATGGCAGGCCCCTTCTACGTAGCATCACAACCCTAAACCCTAAACCCCAAACCCTAAACCCTAAACCCTAAACCCTAAACCCTAAACCCTAAACCCTAAACCTTAAACCCTAAACCCTAAATCCTAAACCCTAAGCCCTGAACCTTCACAAAGCCCACTTTCTGACAAGGCCACCGGGCCCATGCCATGTTGCCGTGCCTTCTCACAGGCAAGAGCTTAGGGGCCCTTAATAATTAAGGCTTAATTCGCATAAACCTCCCCTAAAGCCCCCTAAAGCTCCCCTAAAGCCCCCTACACCCCCTAAAGCCTCAAACCCTAAACCCCCAAAGCCCTAAACCCCTTAAACCCCCGTAATCCCGCCTAAACCCCCCTAAGCCCCCCCCCCCCCCGAAGCCCCCCCGAAACCCACGCGGGGGCTTCTTGCGTGTTGGGGTGCTCGGCTTCAGGCCATTGAGTCTGACTTACCTTCCGGCTCTTGGGTAGCGATAAGTGGGGAACTGTTTAGGGGTTTAAGGTTTATAGTCTAGGGTTTAGGATTTAGGGTTTAGGGGTGCCAAAGCCTGTTTTCTTTTTCTGGGCCCTGCTCGTAGGCATCCAATACCCATCGGGTAGGGAGTTTTTTTCTCCTCGGAAGGCCTGAGGGGTCCAAGAAGTCCCATTACGTGGCTGCACACACCCTCAGGCCCTCCGCCCATCTCCGCCCTAAACATTTCTGGGCCCTTTCGGACCTTAGGCTCGAAGCCCAATTAACCTCAAACTCCAAGCCCGAAAACCCCAAACCTTTGACCTTAAGCCCGAGCGAAAAAACCTTTACCCCCGAGAAAACCACGAGCCAGAACTCGAAGAACCCCAACGCCACACCCGCCTTAAGCCGCAAATCCCCAGACCCCAATCTCAAACCCTCAAACCCCAATCCCAAACCCTAAACCCGAAACCCTGAACCCTAAACCCAAAACCCAAAACCCTAAACCCTAAGCCCTAAGCCCTAAGCCTTAAGCCCTAAACCCTAAACCCTAAACCCCAAAGACCAGCCTAGACTGCGAACCCTACACCCCCAAGCCCATGACGTGGTGCGGGACGGGCAGGTGCTATGTGGTGACCAACCGCGTCGGCGCCTTAAAATTGAGGGAAGCCCTCGGGTTTAGGGTTTAGGGTTTAGGGTTTAGGGTTTAGGGTTTAGGGTTTAGGGTTTAGGGTTTAGGGTTTAGGGTTTAGGGTTTAGGGTTTAGGGTTTAGGGTAACCCAAAGCCCCAAACCCCAAAAAGCTGTAGGGGCCAGCTCCCAATCAGCCAGTGGAAGCCCCATGTACACGGTGATCGAAAACATGTAGCTAGGGAAGAGCAAACATCGACACAATCCTGGAGAGCTCTTGGGGCTTGGGAACAGATCTTTGCGGGGAAGTTTTTGCCATGGTTCTTTCGAGGGGCCGAAAAACGCTCCTTGTTAACTATTTGTTATGGAAACTTCGCATTCCCTTGAGAAGTCTTTGGTTTACGAACTGTTGATCTGTGAATTTAACAGCCAATTGAAGTACGTCTTGTTCGTGTCCGGAGACCTCGGTAGACTCTTTGAAGCTAGGTTCCTGTGCGAGCCTCAAAATCTGCGGCCTGTATTGCGACGTTTTTCATTAGGTTTAGCGTGGAAAGGGACGGAGACAGCCAGCTGAAAGGGAAGAGCAGGAGAGATAAGGATATCAAAGTTGCGAAAACACTGAGAAATCAAAAAGCCAAGAACAGAAATAGTGGCGCCGGTCGTGCGGTGCACTCTCAAACGTGGCCCTGAGCCCTACATCCTTTAACCCTACGCTGCCGCATTTTGTTGGGCTTGTTCACAAGCAACGTCAGCCCCAAACCCTTAACCCAATGAGGTTTGAGGGTTGTACATCCCTGCTGATGAACACCCAGATCCCTGCGCTCTTAAACCCAAAACCCCTTGAATCCTAAGCCCTAAGCCCTAAGCCCTAAGCCCTAAGCCCTAAGCCCTAAGCCCTAAGCCCTAAGCCCTAAGCCCTAAGCCCTAAGCCCTAAGCCCTAAACCCTAAACCCTGAACCGCTCTCTAGCCTTTCGTTTCTGTCCATCTCTCCTCTGTACTAAGGCGTCGCCTTGCTATGCAGCACCGCGACTGGCAGTGCCTCGCTCACTCCATGCATGCGTCCAACAGTTTCTAGGGGGCTCTGTCTGTCTGTCTGTCTGTTTCCAGGCGAGCTTCTCAGTGCAGCTCTCGGTGCAGCCTGACCAACTCCTGTCTGTCTCTCTGTGTGTGTGTGTGTGTGTGTGTGTGTGTGTGTGTGTGTGTGTGGGTTTCTCCGTGTGTCTCGGCGGGTCTCTGTGTGTCTCTGTGTGTCTCTGTGCCTCGGTGCCTCTGTGCCTCGGTGCCTCTGTGCCTCTGTGCCTCTGTGTGTGTGTGTGTGTGTATGTGTGTGTGTGTGTGTGTGTGTCGATTATAGGGGGTTGGGGCTGTGAAGTGAGGGTGGCTTCGGATTCGTAGGGTATAGGGCGAAAGTTTAGGGGCTTCAGGGCATCAAGGTCTAGGGTCGTGTATCTCTCGCTGCAACGGAGCCCCCAAAACCTGAATTCCCGAATTCGGCTTTAGGATTTAGGATTTAGGGTTTAGGGTTTAGGGTTTGGGGTTTAGGGTTTAGGGTTTCGCGTTTAGGGTTTAGGGTTTCGGGCAACCCTGGACCCACAACCCCTCCAACCACATGCCATCGGACCTCATCCCCCTAGAAACTGTGTCATGCACAGCCCTGGCCCACCGAAAGACCCTAAGACCCCCACCTAGTTACGCAGGATGCCCAGTACGTAGACTTTTCACCTTCTTTTAGGGGCGCTCGGTTGCCCCATGATCCCAGCAAGCAAAGCAACGGCCCCTTTTTCTTTCCCCTCCTCGGATACTGGAGAGCCCTTAACACACTAAGGCCTAAAAGGCAAAACCCTATAGAGCCCTAAAGCGGCAAACTCCGGAAACCCCTTAAACCCTAAACCCTAAACCCTAAACCCTAAAGCCCCAAGAAGCCCTAAAACCAGGTAAACCCCGGGGAGCCGCTCGCCTAAAGCCCCAAGAAGCATGCGCGGTCGACCAGGTGCCGTCCGCCTCGAGCGCTCGCCGCGCAGAGCATGCGCGGTCGATCCGCGGGTCCGCTCGGGCGTGCGCAAGGCGCCTGGGTTTAGGGTTTAGGGTTTGTAGGGTTTAGGGTTTAGGGTTTAAGGTTTAGGGTTTAGGGTTTAGGGTTTAGGGTTTGGGGTTTGGGGTCTGGGGTTTAGGGACGTGCTGCAGGGCAAAGGGTCGAATTCGGGGCTTCAGTGTTGAGGGTGTGAAAGTGGGGTTCCCTATGTAATACCCCAACACCCTATTATTCTACTTGTTAAGGCGCCGGGCTTTTGGTTGGGGAGTCGCATGCCGGTACGAGGGTGGGCTCCAAGCTGCTGCTCCCAATTGAAGCGTAAACCTTCAACCCACAGCAGCATGTTGATCAAGAAGTGCTCCATGAGAGTAGCCAGTGCAAGCGCCTCTTAGACCAAATTCATGACAAAAGGGCTGCGTGGTATACACCGAGCGGAATGCGTTCTTTTGTCTTCGGTGCGAACAGCGGACAACGCATCCCATGAGGCTTGAGGCGGGGGCCTCAAACGTACAGCTGTAGCCATGTAGCGATACACAGTGGCAATGACGACTCCATTCTTCGATATCAACATGTCAACGTCAGTTAATGGCAATGCTGTTGAATCGTTCCGTTTAGGGTTCGGAGGGTTTACAGGGTTTGCAGGTTCTATAGGGTTTCTAAGGGGCTGATTATAGGCCCCTAAAACCGAAACCCAAAAGATCCCCAGACCCCAGGATTTGTGGGGTTGTGATAAGGTTTGGGTCTTGTCACATCATCTCTTTGGATCTACTTGCTGCTCTCCAGGCCTAGGGTTTCGAGTTTCGGGTTTGGGTTTAGGGAACCACCAGAGGGCCAGGAACAGGGGCCAAACCCCTCAAGCCCTCCCCGATGTTCCAAACTCCTACATGCGAGTGCCCGGCTGGAGGCTTAGCTGAGTAGGCAACCTCAGTCTGCTTTTGGGGCATTTCTGATTCTTTTTTAAAACCCTAAGCCCTAAACCCAAAACCCTAAGCCCTAAACCCTAAACCCTAGACCGTAAACCCTAAACCCTAAACCCTAAACCCTAAACCCTAAACCCTAAACCCTAAACCCTAAACCCTAAACCCTAAACCCTAAACCCTAAACCCTAAAACCTAAACCCTAAACCCTAAACCCTAAACCCTAAACCCTAAACCCTAAACCCTAAACCCTAAACCCCTGTTCATCAGAAGAGTCAGCCAAGCTGCGACCAGGATATCCTTCGCGGCTTCTGCCTGGCCACCCCGTGACCGCCGTGCGGCCACCACTGCAGCCAGGGCCTTTCTTCTAAACGGCCATTTGCTTAAGAGCCCCCCAAAAACAACAAACAATAATCCCTATATTGCCCTTCTAAGGGATAATGTTTTTTTGGGGGGCTCTGGCCATTAGCTTAAGAAT